GAAAAAAAAAAGCACAGGAGAGACCCATATCAATACAACTAGAAATGAAAAAGAAGGAAGTGCAAAGGACACCGCCTAAATCCAAAGATAATCAACTATTTTAGAAACATTTTCTCTAATAAGTTAGAGAATGTGGAAGAGCTAGGTAGATTTATAGATACCTATAAATTACTAAAACTGAAACAAGATGGTACAAAACCCTAAAAAATCCAATACAGGAAGAGAAATTGAGTCAGTAACTAAAACAAAACAAAACTACAAACAAGCAAAATCCCAGACCACAATGAAACCACTGAATTCCACAAGAATTTTGTACTAAAAACATTTTCAAGGAAGATGTAACACTACTACTCTTTAAAATTTTAATGAAATTAAAACAGAATGTATACTGCCAAACTTATTCCTGGAGTATAGATTTACTTTGATTCCAAAACCAGACCACAACTAAAATAAAAAGGGAAACTATAAACCAATCTTTTTGAAGAACAGTGCATACTAGAATGCAAAAGGCAGCAAATTATCAAAAATATAATACACTATGCCCACATAGACTTTATCCTAGGAGTGTAAGAATAGTTCAATACACACAAATCAATAAATGCAATACATCGCACAAATAAACACAAGTAGGAAAAATCGCATTATCTTCTCAATAGATGCAGAAATTTTTATTGAAAATCCAACATCCATCCATTCACAAGAAAAATTTTGAAGAAAATAGGTGAAGTTTCACAGTAAAAGTACTGAATACCTAAATATTTTGAATGACTCATTATTGAACTTCTCTATCTATCAATTATGAATTACCACTAATCCATTGAGATCATTTAGACGGTGAAAGCCCCATCAAAACCACCCCTCTTTCTCCAGTCTTCTGTGTGGTAAAAGGTTTTTATTTATTACTAAGAGACCAATGTCTTGCATATCCTTAAATAGATGTCATTTATTCAAATTTTACTTGAACAGTAAGTTTAATTCTCGTATTAATTATAAATTATTTATGTAATACATTAGAGAACTATAATTTCTTCAGGTATGCTTTGGATAAATTGACTATTCAGTGTATTTAACTCAGAACCAATAAAACCACTTGAGTAAGGGATTTCCAGAGCAAACAGTGTAGAAAAAGTTTCCATGGATGATAAACTGAGTGGATCCATGATTCACTTTAACATTAAAAGAAGTGATTTTTTTTTTTGGAACTCTAGGGAAAACTGCATGTTTTAATAATTCCTTCTGGGGAATGATCTGCATCTTCTACATACACTTGCGGTCTGCTTCTTTTTTTCTAGCCATTAGTTGCACATGTTAATAATTACTATTGCATATATATTATTGGAGATTAAAAGAAAGATTAGCAATATTTATTCAGCATGACTTTGAAGAGGTCATTCCTCAGCTGGAACAGGTAAGTTTAAATAACAATGTTAACAACATATTACAAGTGTATCCTTTAATAAAAGACATGACTTTTACACAAAAATTTTAACTTCATGAAAGCCATGTTATTCTGATCATGAAGACAATAGTAACAAATTATTTTAGTCATCTAGCCTCTGAATATATTTTTCTAGCTGTAGTAAAAATCAAGAAGACCAGGTTAATGAGTGAATACTACTCGTATTCTGATCCAGAGTCAATTTTATCATTTGAGCTTGAGTTTTTAGATAATGAATTTGCATTTGTTTAACACATGGGATATAAAGACAATTTATATTATAACAAAATAACATAAAATATAAGTCACTCTTTTACTGAATTAGCATCTGTAATGACCCTTAATTTAATAAAATTCCAGATGAAGAAAATAGTATTGACTTATTGCTATAAATTTTGTTTTAAAATTAATTTAGTTATTTGTAATTTTAGTTGCCTACAATGAGTACTGATTTTAATTCAGAAAAAAATCAATGGGATGCTAAAATAAAAAATAATTGATTTAAATAATTTGATTTGTTTCTTCCTAAACTCTACACATATTTTCTTGATAAAATCATATGATGATTTATTCAATATGATTTATTCAGTAAATTTGTAAACATGATAATGTATTCATTTTGATAATTTAGGATCACAGACTAGTCCTTACTTCTCTAAACCCACTGGCACTTTTGCTACATGTAAAATAGTCTTTTCATACTTTATTCATTTGATCAGCATATGAAAACAAAGCCTTTGGCACTGATTTATTTAATTCCCATCGAATGTGCAGCTACTACAAGCTAGACACAATCATATATATTCACATATATTACCTCATTAATTTTCTGCAACAACCCTATAGAACTGACAGTGTCACTCTGCATGGAGACATAGATTGTGCAGCCATTTGAAAAGAGCATTCTTTCAATTAGGACTACATTTATAGGAGTTATTTTGGCAACAAATGTGACGTTTTTTGTTGTCCAAATTGTTTATGTCATAAGTGGCCATTATTTATACAGTATCTAATCCATAGTTTAACATTTTCATGACAAGAAAATACAATAAAAACTCACCTATAATTTCATTTTTATTTTAAAAGTGCTTGTCAGTTGCGTTGTGTAAATGTATTTGTTACTGAATATTAACCCACACTATGAATCATTCAATGCTTTTTAAGCCCTAAGCAAGCAACCACAGTTGAAAAGAATATAGTAATTTAGCAAGTTTTAGCCACATGAAAGACACTTAAAAATCTAGGCTCTTACATCAGTGTTATTAATCTCATTCTTAAACAAATTTGATCAGAAAGCAAGCAAGTATTATCTATGCAATATTATAAAATTACTTTTATTCCTATGTAGGACATTAATATTGCCATATGTGCTATTCAAAAACTTTGACTTTCCAACTGAGGTATAGTTATGGCTTTCACTGGGATCACCTCTTTTCTTTTTCTTACCATAAGATATTTTCCACTGTGTCAGAGTAAATAAAACACATATTTATATAAATATTTAATCTCTAACCATATTTTCAAATGAAAAAGAGGAATAACAACATGCTATCAATAGTAAGACAAAATATATTCAATCAATCTACTCCCTATATACAACATCAATGAATATGCATATATCTTAAATTTGAATTAAGGAGGGGGAAAAATGAAACAATAAGTGCCTGTGTTCTTATTTACTTGAATAATTCACATAAGACTAATACAAATGCACAAAGAGACACAATCTACTTCTACAAGACAGATATAACTAATAATATAATAAATTTCTAATATTTTGTGTCTTTCTGTATGAAAGTAATGCAACAATACCCATACCACACCACCCATAATTAACTAAAATGTGTTTTCACAAGTGTGCAAATTTTCTTTGTATAGGAATAAAATGTTCATCACTATCGCCAGTTAAATTATCATTTTAACATAACACCTTCACTTGAAAAACTTTCTGAAATCTCCTACTCAATGGATATGAAAAATAGTTCAGTGATATCTGAGTTCATTCTGTTAGGACTCACCAGCAGCTGGCGACTTGCAATTTGCTTTTTTATCCTATTTTTATTGGCCTATGCAGCAATCATGGGAGGAAATATTTTAATTGTGATCACTGTAAGCTTTGACGCTCACCTTCATTCCACACCGATGTACTTCCTCCTTGGAAATCTCTCCTTCCTTGATATGTGTATTTCCACCATCACAACTCCTAAAATGGTCACAGACTTCCTGAGGGAGAACAAAGCTATTTCCTTGTGGGGCTGCATGGCTCAGATGTTCTTCCTCCACTTCTTAGGGGGCAGCGAGATGACTCTGCTCATAGTCATGGCCGTGGATCGCTACGTTGCAATATGCAGACCTCTGCACTACACAGCCATCATGAACCGCAGGGTGCTGCTGGGCTCTGTGCTGCTGTCGTGGGCGGTTGGCTTTGTGCACACCATGAGCCAGATGGTTTTCATGGCCACTTTGCCCTTCTGCGGCCCCAATGTGGTCGACAACATATTCTGTGACCTCCCCCTAGTGATAAAGCTTGCCTGCACTGAGACCTATGTGCTGGAGTTGCTGGTCATAGCCGACAGTGGACTTCTGTCTTTCATCTGCTTCGTGCTCTTGCTCGTTTCCTACACTGTCATCCTGGTGACCGTGCGACGTCAATCCTCAGGTGGACTCTCCAAGGCGCTGTCCACACTGTCTGCTCATATCACAGTGGTCACTCTGTTCTTCGGGCCATGCATCTTCATTTATGCTTGGCCATTCCGTAGCTTTTCAGTGGATAAATTTCTTTCTGTGTTTTATTCTGTTATCACTCCCTTGCTGAA